ACAGGTTGTTGAGTGACTTCTTTATATTGTAAAATTCAAAGAATGTTGGATGTTGAGAGCCTGATTTATATCATTAAACACTTCCACAAAGTATGTTGGATGTTGAGAGCCTGATTTATATCATTAAACACTTCCACAAAGAAAGTTGGGTGTTGAGAGTCTGTTTTATATCATTAAACACTTCCACAAAGAATGTTGGGTGTTGTGAGTCTGTTTTATATCATTAAACACTTCCACAAAGATTATTGGTGGGTGAGAGCCTGTTTCGTATCGTTAAACACATATAAAAAGCCTGTTTTATATTGTTTAATACTTATACAAAGAATGTAAATTGTTGAGGGCCTGTTTTTTTTTTATCTTTGAATTTTTACTCAAAGAATTACGTCGTTAAGAGCTGGCTTTATATTGTAAAACACAAAATGAATAAGTGTTGTTTAGAGCATGTTATGAAGTGATAAACACTTAAACAAAGAATGGTGGTTGTTGATATTCTGCTTTATGTTGTTAAAACTTAGTCATCAAAATTTTAAAAATTCCCTGCATTTGATCTAAATTTTGTAAATTTGACATAATGCCGAAATTGACAGATAACGTGTAGACGCTTCAAACAGCTTAAATCACTGCTGTGACTTAGAAACATAAAAGAGTGACACAGATTTTGATTTGACTACTTATTGTACGGGAAGAATTGTTTAGTCTAAAATTGAATGGAATCAACTCAGTCTTAGTCGACAGGAAACTACAAACTGATAATGATTAAAGGTTAGAATGGGCTTGAAATATCTTTTGTTGAGTAGGAAGGATTCCTTATATACATATTTAGACTCTGTTGTTATCACTGACAGTGTTATGAGGCAATAATGAAAAAGTATATCAAACGATACATAAATAATTTGATAAACGTGCATAATTTTACACTGGTTCAAAACTTATATATCATATCTATTTGAAAAAATTAATGTCGCTGTCTGCAAAAACAAGGCTGTAGTGAGTGATCTCGATTTATAACAACTATAAACGCTAAGAATTGTTGTTTAACATGGATGGTATACAATACAAATATACACGTATACCAACATTTTCGGGCCGATTTCTGTATTGATATATCTGAAATATATGTCTAGCAGCAAATTCCGAATCACTTCCACAACTTTCTTCATTTAAAGTTTTTAAGTTATAGAACATTAAATGAACTTAACTGAACGTTACAGAGTTTATATTTCTCTTCCTGTGTAGATACATAGCAGTTAAACGCGGTCCTGCTGCTAATATCATTTACTCCTGTACCCAAGTCACCCGTACCGAGGTGAAATATTCCGGAAAAAATGAGCTTCACACGGAGAAGGATATGGACACCCTTAGAAAAAAGACACACGGTTTTAGAAATTTGTCAGAATAACTGGATTTCTTGTTTACAATGTACATATAATGATACCATTCCTAGGGCCATCTACCCTTGACATCAACCTCTCAAGAAAGAATTAACATGTACCCATTCAAACTGATAGACATTCAGTGTTAACGTCGGCTGAATGGGGATCAGTTCTCAAACACACAGTCCGTTTACTCTTATTTGAAGTTCAAATGACAATAGATGAAAACATGTTTCCATCTCATATCCTGCTTGGTATTGTATGTTTGGTGAATACACCGATGGACACCCGATAGACAGGGTCTTGCCCCTTCTTTTGCTTTTCCCGACGGGGGTTTCATCGAAATGGGGAGATAAAGTGGTATCTCTCTATCGGTCTATTAAGGGCACAGGCAGACTGTGTGATAACCTCTGACCCGCGAATTATTCGAAAGGGCTTCTTGCTCCTCGGATTCAATCACGGTAAGGCGAGATGAAATGTGATCATCTTGTTAAAGACACAATGTGAGAGAAAAATATCGCAGGTACCGCATTTTGTTCATGGTCTTGCACCAGGGCGAAAAACTTCAACCAGCTCCGACACATCCTTCCGCCTTGATGCTTTGATGTGCATTCAATTTGAAGTACAAAGAGCTGAAGTGTACAATTGTACGTATTGTATCGGCAGTCTATATTGAAAACACTTAAACGGAGTTTAATGTTGCACTAGATGGGGAATTCTACAGGAAAACACACTGGATGACTGATGTTTGTAAAGAAATGTGACATGACAACGTTATTTTTATCAGCCTACTCTCAAACTTTAAGCGTTCAATCATAATTACTCTATATTTCATTTATCAATGATTACCGAAACAAAACAAAAAACAAAAAAATAGAAACCAAAACAAACAATACAGCGTTTGGATGGGTTTTTTGGGGGGGAATGCGTGTTTAATTTCTTTCACTTAGGACACAATGAACATGTCTTCAACAAGACTAACTTACTCGGTCCTACATTTATCGAGTTCTTGACAAAGTGGTTTTCACCACATCTATGGCATCAACACATCGACCGCAGCTGAAATGAATACCCTGAATCAACCAGCGACGTGGGCAAACAGCCAGTCTTTTGGTAGCGTTCCTTAAGTAACTTTAGATTAGATTCAGACGGCCATGTAAGGAAAAATTCACTGATTTAAAAGTTTATACTCTAATTCAACTTGCAGTATGGCTCTGTTCTAACCAACGTATACAAGGTAAGTATATTAATACAATCAGGGAATCCCTAGCTATTTTTGATAAGTAAATATATTCCATGATCTAAAAAAAATATAACCACACACATACAATCATGCACTCAAGAGATTGAAGCCTTGAATGAATATATGAATGACTACACTAACCTGCTTCAGTGAGTTTAACATCAGTCAATGAACAAAAGAATACATTAATGTCAAATATGAAAATGTATATCATGAAGATAAAATGTCTTTTCATGTGCCACACTGTATAAATCTTATATCAAGGTTCCTGACAAAATTACTTTAACATAAAAATGAGAGATATAATTTGACCCTTATGACTAATTCAAATATTATCTTTGTCAAAAGAAGTGCTGCCGTTTCTTGAAGATGACAAGAAATTATTTACATTTTATCTATTCTTTAACAAAACTACTAGAGAATACATCCGCGTTCACAAAGTCATAATTTAAACTAATATTCCATAGAGTATTTTAACATGAATACATACTGAGATACTTAACAGAAAACGCCTTGCTGTTTACAGTGAAGTTGTATATTGATATTTTAAACAGGAGAAGTCTAATTATGATATATACGTTAATGAAGGTATGGCTGATCATCACACATGGATAAGACATACATACGTATATAAAGAGGTATTTGCCCGTATGCTATATATTTGTTGTTTTTTTTTCAATCTTTTGACAGTATTCGTCAGAAAATGATCGATTTATCAACAACTCAATCACAAATGTTCTATTTGACTTGAATTGTTCTGGGAGGGGAAGGGTCCCGTTTAAAGCTTTGATCTATCATTGAGAAACCTCCCTTCTAAACACTTCGTCCTTAAGAAGAATATATTGCCTATTTGCCACATTCCTGTTCCGACCCTTATTCAGAGAAAAGTGTTCTCCGTTTTATTGTAATGTCAACAGACTATAAATGCATTTGAATCGAGTTGCATACATAATAATATCACCATTTCCATAAGAAGGTGATAAACCGCATATCCCATTGCCGCTATCATATAGAATATCATTCCAATGACGCTCTCTACACTTCCAATGATGTACACAGCTAGGTGGGCTTCGATTTGGATTTTTTTAAAGCGAGCAGATGTTCGCTTTGTAAAAATGTTTCTTAATATCAACCGCTATAAAGTTTCATTGGCAGGGCTTACATAGCAATAAAACAAGTTATGTCAAAGGACAAATCTAAAGTTAGATAATGCAGGATATTGTAGAATATTTCATGCACGGATGCATTTCGACCTAAAAACTTGTCCTAAGACACTGCCGTTTGAAGCAAGCGCAACAAGTGCGATATGAAACAGTGTGAAAAAGGACAGCTTCATTAGCATAATCCTTAGCTGTTTCACTGTGGCACTATCACCGTATAGGTCAATACATCGTGAGATCACTGAGAATCTATATTGACGTTCTAGTTCATCTGTAATAAATCACATCTTGTGTCAAGTAAACTGCTAGCCTTTATCTATAGACATAACAGAGCTATATTGTTCGTGCTCGTTTGTTAATATCCATACATAGACTCATAATTAGACTATATACAGGCATACACACAACATTTCTGGGGACTGGATACTGCATGTTATAGAGAAATGTCGGACATCTTTAGATTGCATTCAATTCATATGAAATGTTCATTTCGTCAAAGTAGATGAGATAATTAATACATGAAAAGCGAGTCTTGTTGAAGTGAACTAAATTGTACATATGAAATGCTAGTCCGGTCAAAGTAAATCGAATCTAATACATAACATGTTGCTCCGGTCAGATTGAATTATATCTGACACACAAATAAAATGTATTTAATTCATTTAATGTTAGTCTAGTCAGAGTGAAATATGTTAAACACACAAATAAAATGTATTTAACTCATATAGTATTAATCTGGTCAGAGACATTTGTATCTTTATATAAAAAATGTTAGTTTGGTCAACTCGTGTGATGCGTATTTAAAATATGAAATGTTAGTGTGGACAAGGTAAACTGTCCAACACATAAAATGTTAGTTTAGTCAGTTACATTACTACATTTAACACGTGAAATGATAACCTGCTCAAAGTAACCTACATTGAGCATAATTAAGGTTAGTCAGTTAAAAGTACACTGTATTCAAAACATGTTGTTAGTCTAGTCAAAATCGATCGTGGTTATTGCGTAGTGTATATGATGTTGTCTTGGTTCTCTTCATAAATCATTCAGTAGTGTGGTGACTATTCAATTGACAGGAGAATTGTGTTGTTCTATCGTGTGTTTAGTAAAAAAATTCCCTCCATTCCTTACGAAATTACAGTACAAGTTTAAGTGAATGAGATGCATGTGTTAACGTGATATGCTGTCAGTCATAACTAATAGTACATTGGTGATGTAACTCACCCGTCGGCCTGCTTCGTTGTTATGAAGATTCATTAACATCCTGGCCAATTCCCGCGACCCACGTTTATGGTTTTTATCCTTTTCTCGTACATCCACGAAGTATTTAGCGAAATTGTACCCGTACTCTATATTATCACCACAGCCGCCCCAAATCCAACCTCGTTTGAGTTCTTTAGGACGCATGGCCTTGCTACAGCCACACCGAGACAGCTCGCCCTCCCGACACGCCCGACTCACAGCATGGACCACACCAGCGGCCGAGATAGCGTGAGTAAATGCAGCTTCTCGACTGGCTGAAATGTAGAAAAAAATGGATTAAACATAAATATATATTGAAGATATTGCATGGGTGTTCATTCATATGAGATTCATGAACAGTCTTTGTTTTTTTTGTTATTTAACCGAGCCTCTCTTCGAGTTTTGAAAATATCATTTTAAATGGCAACGAAAGTAAAAATGTATGCCTCGCATTAATTTAATATTTTTGTAAACAATATTGAAAATCTTATTTTTTTCTAACATAAAATTTATTCTTTATTATTTGACGTCACAATGCATATACAGCTACGGCGTCGTGACATCACAATGGAAACAAAGGGGATCTCCCGCTTGGTCAAATCATCACGAAAAAAGGGTGTTATTTCACTGATATGTTTTATGTGAAAAATGACATTTTCTATAAATAGAAACGTAAAAACAAATTTTTGGGTCGATTACTTAGGTGAGAAATATGCCCACAACATATTAACCAGTCACGGTTTTTTCTATTCCAATAAAACATGCCGACGTCCCGTACATGAAACAAGACCATATTACCATGGAGACGCTGGAAATAAAACCAATCTGTCTTGTGTTACAAAATTTACAGTAAAAACTATATTGTCTATAACTCAGTAATACGCCGTATGTTTTGGGAAAAACAATCGTATAAATGTTTTATTTGTGAATCAAAACTGATTTATGGAGGAATAATGACATTTATAACCAAACAACACTCACAATAGTTTATCATAAAAACACCATTGAGGAATACATCTTCCCTACAACACTAACCATCGCTTATAAAGTACGCAGGCGATGAAAATGTTTAATTGTCACAATATTTACGTAATAATGTATCATCTGATTTAGTAATGATAACCTACAATGATAACATCCCATAAAGTTCATTTTAATAGAAAATAAAATACGTTTTCAGATGTTGATATGTAAAGGTTTTTTTGGATGCATTATAATTTAGGTTTTTTTCTGAAAGTATAAACACAACTATGCTATTTCCAGCATCGCTGAACCACGCTCTACACTAAATAATATGTCTAACTGATTTCAAATTCAAATCCTAATGGATATTCAATGCAATCCTTTTCAATTACTGATCGAAACACTGATAATTGTTATCCCTGTGCTGCTTTGATTCTTATGAAGTATAGGGAAAAGCCTATATCTATAATTAATAGTTATAATAAGTAAATCGCGAAGCTCCAGTTATAAGAAAATATAAAATCGTGGTATTTTTTTGTTCTTTTTTATCACCGAAGTTCAGGAAAACGATTTTTAAAAATGAAGAAATCGTTATAAAAAGCTAACGTAACTTTATACAGCAGTAGATCATGTTTACATTACTTCAATTTTCATTTTAAAACTTGATAACGCCCTCGTATTGAAGTGATGAGCCGTCGTGATTCAATCGACTGGGTTGTCATTTATATGACACCGTGATCAGGTAACACGCTATCAACTTACCAAGGAATAAGGAAAACCTGTCACAGTTTGATTGAAGTATGACAAATATATTCAACTAAGTTAGAACAGCTCAATCGGTAACATCATCTAAAATATCACAAATCACCTGGTGAAATTATAGATTTATTCACTTATAGAAATCAAAACGCAGAAAAATATGTACATTCATATTAATAAAAAAAAAGATCTATAGCGGATATAGAACTAAAAATTGATCACAGAAAGGAAAGTGAAAATAAAATAAAATTAATCTATGGATCCCTGATGAAGGACGCGTCAATCAAATTATGTAGGCAATGTTTCCGACTTATTGTAAATCACACGTAACGCATGCGTGTATTCTATCGCTTAAAATATCATACTGCGTTTAATTAAGTACCGAAGTTCGTAAAGGTGTTTTCAACAACGAGTAGTTAGTATTTTATTACCTATAATTTCTTATTGTGCCATTTGAACCATCTCATATCATTATTTTATAATTGGTAATACATAGCAATATCAATTATGATTTTATAATAAACATTTAAACGATAGAATAACCCAATACCTTCATACATGTATGTATAACGGAATTCTTGAAATATAAAAAAATATATCAAAATATTTATAAGATAAGTTATTGATAAAGCGTCAGGTGTTGATGGATTTTGTACCTTCCAGATGATACAGACACTAAGCAATAGATAAATAAAGTAAATAACACCTTTCCGTTTTATTTATTAACGTAGTACCTTAATATATTTTCATTTACATATTCAAATTAAATCATTTGTGATAAACACTTTGTCTCTAAGACAAAATATGTTAGAATCGGAACAATTGCAGTTTTAATCTGGTCAAGGACAATCAGAACATCGAATGCCCTGATATAGAGGTCTGCATAACCTACAGCTTTGTAAACATCCTGTTTCATAAAAATTCTTTAATATCTAAGAACAGACCATTTTTCATTGAATATGATCGCCCCTGTTTAATTTTTGTTCATTTGTTATTTTCCTAACTGTGGTGGACTTCTGTGTCAATATCTGTTCTCTGTAGTACCTGTTAGGTAGTTTATAACAAGCATACATTATATCAGTACTTTATACAGTACATCGGACGAGAATATGTTATATATTGTAATAATATACAATAAAAATACTTCGTTATGCTATCCTCCAATATCATAAATTAGGGATAACACATCCTTGCAATACATTTACTGAATATTTCCATACTAAGTAATAAACAAATACATTTTTTTATTGTCAAACATCTAAATCAAAGTAATTTATCAAATACTTTAAAGTTGATCGGGCGTTTGTTTGTTTGTTTGTTTGGTTTTTTTTCTATATTGTTCTAGTATTGCTTGTATTTTTATTTTTCATGTAAACCTGATAGAAACTGAAGTCAGACATTTGAAAATGACGTAACCAAGTAATCACTCTAGACTAATACAGATTAAACTGCCTCAGGATAATTCAGGACTGCAATGGTAAAATTTCAGGTCATGTGAATTATCATCAACTTTACCTACTCTAAGAAACTCTGGATTCTGATCCAAGTTGCCTGACCACAGGTGTGATGTGAACTGCGGTGTTTTTACTTGTCGTGAGGTGTGATGAGAACTGAGCGGATTTTACCTGTCGTAAGGTGTGATGAGAACTGCGGTGTTTTTTACCTGTCGTGAGGTGTGATGAGAACTGAGATGAATTTTACCTGTCCTGAGATGTGATGTGAACTGTGGTGTAATTTACCTGTCCTCAGGTATGATGTGATCTGCAGTGTATTTCACCTGTTCTAGGGCTATCAGGAATCTAGAGTGGAAATACCTACCCTAAGGTTATTCTGACGATATTTATCACTCCTGTATATGATCCTGATATCGCCCCAAAATACATATCGATTGTTCTCACAAACCCGCACCAAACATACAGTAAACAGCTCCAAGCATGCTGTGACATTCGGATTTTGTGGTTCATATTCACGAACAATCATTGAACAATGATACCTATTATGATGAATTAATGATACCAACTGATCTCTTAATCATTTCTTCTCACGAGATAAATAACCTATTTACTGATATATGTGCGTTTTTTCAAAACTAGATAATTTCCCTACATTAGACTTAAGGCACAAGAACAGATAAACGATCACAAAATAAAACGTTTAACGATAACTGCCACCCCAACCATGAACGCGACCAAACCCAGAGGTAGCTCCACTCCGGGACAATAACAATGGGAAGAAAGAGCTTTGTGTTTTAGTGAAAGCCAGAAAAGCGGAATACTTGGTGGTCCTTTTCCTCTGCTGCCGATAGCGATAGACCCAGGGGACCTTTCTGGATGTTCTAGCTTGCAGAAACTATTTCTTAAATTGCTTTTCCATACCTCATATCTTACGGATTACGTTTGAAATCGCAAAGATTTTTTTCGAGTCGACGAGAAATCCCATATGTCTGGGTCTCTCTCAACTAGTTGATATTACATCAAGCAATTAAATACGCGAAAAGGGAATATTTTGACTGATGCTTCATACAACGTGTTTTTTTGTCTGACATTTCGTAAAACGTCGAGCCGCCATTTTGTATAAAAAGTAGTGTCTGCTTCCCAACACGTACGCTATAACGTAGTAGGAGACGAGAGTTACAGTGCAACTGAGACGTTCCATATTTCACCACAAAAACAAAGACTGCTAACACTATTTCTATAAAAATATCGAAGACAATCGAGCAAAAGACAACCTGTCTTTAGACTTAACATATATGTTTGATAACAATGGTGATAAATCTCACGGCTGTAAAATGCTCATAACTGTTGAAACCGGAGTTTAACATCGTCTTAAATTGCCAAAGTACACGGCAGACGGGACGTCAGGGAAGGCGTTTATAGTATCGATAAAGACAACAAAATATAATAGGAATTCTTTGGAGTTTTTATTGGTAAATCAGAATAGGATGACCTGCATGATAAACGATCCAGCGCGATTCCTTCAATCTATAGCTAACATATGTCTCTTTCGGCTCATAAAGATAACATCTTGTACCTTGGAGCTATATCATCTTCATTCGTTCCAATATCTTCCGTATTATTGACAATCATTTATTATACTGTCATAAAGCTTGGTCTTTTTCATGTTGCAATGCCCTTGCTGAATAACAATTCCGACTGGACGACTTTTAATCTACCGTATCTATTACATTATCGAACCGTGAGATAAAAGTACGCCGTATCGTACCATGGATGACCTGTTGATATTTCTAATACCAGAACACCCATTCCTTTCCATTGGCGACACAGAAAACAAGATGTGTTGTGTCAGAATCGTCGGATTCTTACCTAACTCAGTATTTTCTCTTGATTTCTGAACCGAATACCCTAGTTCAGGCATCAGAATCTGTTGCCTATCTTAAGGTTACTGATTACGTTGCTACCTGATAGCCCCGCTGTGTTATCAACAGGATTGTCTTGATACCAACATCTAATTGTCTATAAATGTTCCCTTGTCTAGTATCTCGTACCAAAACGACTTACACAGAGAAAATTTGCAATCCTTTTCATAATCGTTTTCTGTCGAATGCAATACAAAGTGATGATAATAACATCCATAAAAAGACTAACTGCGTTCAATTTTGCGACTATTACGAGATAATTTTCTAACCGGAAGTATTCATCAACCCGGCCTTTATCTAGTCAGTTATTTAGGAGTCTACACTGGGCTAGTATATAGCAGTATTTGTTACCTGACGAGACACAAAATGAATCCAACTGATAAAGACAAACTCGGCAGTGTTCATGCGTTACCTGCCAATCCAAGATCCATTAAGACACATAACTTTACTATGAGTTTGTCAATAAAAAACACGAAATCAGTTCTCAAGCTCTATTAACATTATCTGATCATGACCGTTAACCCAGGGCAAAGAATCCAGTGTCCAATGTAGGAAAATGAACAAGTTAATACGAGTTTGAGATGTGCCTGCACGACTATTCGTTTCTAATCATAGCATACAAGGTTAGCTGTGTGCCTTCATTTGGACTTTGGTCCAATCGTGCAGTTGAAAAAAGAATTAATAGATTGACGGAAAACTAACAACTAATAGTGTACTTATGTTAGTAAAGTATGTAATGGAAACTTTGATACCAATATTCAAATATATACGTGCTTCCATCTTTGAAAACTGGACGTTTTTCTTAAAGTGATTGTCCAAAATAATTATCACAATTACAGTTTTTAATACTTTTAATAATTCTGATGGAGTGAATGTGTGAATTTTAATGAGAAAAAGTATTCTTAAGACGCAATAAATCGACTTAGTCCTGAAAAAAATAGAAGTCTTTGAGATGTAGTGAAGGGCTATTACGTGGTGAGTACTGGGCATTGTCTGTTACATATGATGTTTGTCTATTTAATGACGTGTACTGGACATTGTATGAAAGTGTCTGTAAGATGATGTACATCTATTCATCGATGAGTACAATGTATGTAGATATGTTCTCCATGACAGCAAATAGTGTTGTATTTTTACCTTATCATCTAATAGATAGTTCATGATATGTTTATTGAAACAAATCTACTGGTATATCAGCACAATAAGATATTGACATCTAAGACGTAGGAAAGTGATAATTACCTCTTTCTAAAACAGGTCCAAAGACGGAGTTGTCTCCTTCGATTGTCGAGCAGTTCCACCGCCTATGACCAAACTGTACTTGACACTCGGCAATGCCAAGCTGGGCACCCCTCCCCACACTGGGCATATGATCCTGGTAAAGCTGGCACAGCCTTACCTGCCCAGGGGAAAGTCCCCTTAGCTTAGGACACAAGGGCTGAGAGCCAAGAATATATAACTGTGGATTCTTCCAGGACTCAAACTTTCCAGCAAGACTCCTATATAATAATTAATATCAAAATACATTATTAATCATTCATTAAAAAGTTGGCAGTTTTCAGTTTCTTGTAACTTGTACAAATTAAAGAAGCCTAAAAGGAAAATGTAACAAACTTCACACTAACTTCATATTAGAATATTTACAATTTATAACTGCAATTGACTATATGCTGAATATAAAGTTCTTAAAGCAGGTTAAATTTAGCCAAAAGTTTGTTTCAGAACATTAGACGAGAATATAGTTTGTTTTACATATGGCTTTAACATTATTACACACGTTCAAGAAAATACATAGATTTTGAAAATTATGAAATATAACGAATTATGGAGTTAGTATACGGCCTCTCCATTCAGATTTTGACATTTCTTTCCATCACTTAAGATTTTTTTCCCGTCACCTCCTACTCTTCATAAATCAATGAGTCCTAGAAATTAATCTAATGCTGTGTATCTAAAAGGTCTGATATATTATTATTTATATTTAACAAAGATGAAAGAATTTAGTTCCAAAAACCTTAATTAAAAAGTGATAAGTGATGTGTTCAATACAATATGTAATGTTTCAATCTTTAATTAGCTAGACTAAGATAGAAATAAGGTCATTTGAAATTGAAGTTCAGAAAATTCATTGGTAGTGACACGGTTCAGAATATACACATGTACTTCACGTAATTCCTTAAGGTATTAGATATATGAAATCAATGAATCAATAGGTTAGTGCATCTCCCAACTAGATTTTGATAACTTCGGATTGTTTTCAGTCACCTCCTTGCTTCAAAATTGAGGCCCTTAGTATCAATGACGAGTCTAAGAAGAACAAAGCAGCTGCATAATGTAGCTCAGTTCACTGTTTGGCTTTACTGTATCGAACTCTGTTTGTATTAAAATGTGTTATTCACTTGTGTGTCTTTTGTACAATCTGTAATTTCAATATTTTTATCAAATTGAAACACTTTAAACCCATTGCCAATATTTGTAAAATAATTTCTAATGAAATGAATTCACTACATCATCCGATTTAAGATCAATTATAAGAGTTCCATAAATACAACATGAATTATAATATATATATTAATATTATATACACTCATCTGTGATGGATATTAATAGTATAGACTTAATTATGATTAATCTATTCTATTAACTCATTAAACATTAAATTATATCATACATGTTTTCATTACACATATATCACGTAACGTTATTAAAGATGGCATGTTAAAGTATGACAAAAATTCATTTCTCATATTCAGCGTTTGGAAAACAAATTTTGATCATGAGATAGTGACCATATTGATTATATATCTACCTTATAACCTTATTTATCAAAAATATATAAGAACAGCTTTTCTATTATAAAGATCTAGTTTACAATTCTATAAAATTATCTTAGTATATATCCATATCTATTAGGCAGCTTGGAATCAAAACGTTAGCAAACTACCGTGCTGATTTCATATTTTTGATTATATATACATATTTAAACTTTTTACTATAAATCTGTTAAACAATCTTAACTATAATGACGTGTATTTGTAAACTTTTGTTGTAAATCTATAATACAATCTTATCTATTATATTTTTAATTAGCTTTTGTAATAGATCTGTTATATTACATCATCTACTATGAATTTGTTATATAAACTTGTTTGTAATAGATCTGTTATATTACATCATCTACTATGAATTTGTTATATAAACTTGTTTGCAATAAATCTGTTACAGTACGTTATCTACTATGAATTTGTCATATAAATTTTTGAAATAGATATTTTATATTACATTATTACTATGAATTTGTTATATAAACCTGTTTGTAATAGATGTTATATCTACTATGATTTTGTTATATAAACTTGTTTGCAATAAATCTGTTACAGTACGTTATCTACTATGAATTTGTCATATAACCTTTTTGTTATACTATACTACCTTATCTACTGTAAATGTTTGTTATAATTTCGTTACACAGCCTTATTTGGTTTATGTTATTATTGAGTTACGTCCAATTAAGACTTTTTTCTATATTAAATCTATTATAAAGTTTTATGAAAATTATGTTACACGATCTTATCTATTATGTCTTAAATAAATTATCAATCTCTCAAATAGAATACATATCATTATGTATATTAAACACTTGTAAACTTATTTATCATAAATTTGTTTTAAAACTTTTTGAAATAAATCTACGACAAAACATTTTACTGGCAAAATCACATCGTTAATATATTAAGATATAAAGTTAGAATGAAATGATAAGCATTTGAACAACTAATATGTTTTCAAATTAAATGTAATATTCTATCTAAACGATATAGAAATAACAGCATCTGTGTGATAGTGAGGTTTCTTTATCACAATCAAGTATCAGCGGTATCTAATTTGAAGTGCTGTATCTTTCTAGGCACTCGACCGCGAGTTCATAACACTTAAATGTTACGGGAAAATGCCAAATTCATGATTAAACCTGGATAGTGTTGATCAATAAAATGTAAACACACACAGGTATACAGATGGATTGAATTAGTCTGATTCAGCCTATTCAGATACTACCACAAAGTATTAATTGAAAAGTAAAAAGACTTTTTCAGACAACAAATTGTACAGTCTCATTAAAATACACGAATTCGTTCTATTTATAAAAAGAAAAGCTACATTTTTTCTAGACGACGTAATACTAAATGAAATTTATGAACAAGTAGAAAAGAAACACATGTTCTTGTGTTTCACAAAGTAATTTTGATGTGTTTGAAATCTTGGAGTGATATACAGGTAAATAGGGGGTTCATGTGTCGTATTAAGACAATTGATAGGAAGAGAGCTGTGAAGGTTGGTGTGTTATGTACATTATCGATTGTGTTGCCGCTCACCTGTACAGGTAAACTCGTGGAGAAGGCGGTACATGCTTCTGATATGGATATCGCGGGCTATATTGTATAATAATGATGTCTGTTTATCTTCCAGCCATTTTTGAGTGTTTAATTGAGGTCAGAAGAAAATCATCAATTATCTATAAGCAGACGGCAGTGTCACAGTTGTCACCCTCGCACTATTGATTCGGGAGAGCACTTTACAAACTTAGGGCTCAAGGGTAAATCCTGTATGGGCACTCTGCTCGACCAAGGTATAAACAAAAAACGCTTCTCGCTTCTCTTTCTTCTACATTGCCTTTGTTAAATTGTATACCTGTTTTGTCGCCTGAATATTTTAGATTATCTCGACAATTTTGTTCCAGTGTACACATTGTATATGATATTTATTTTAGTATATTTCGTAGGTGTGTGTATGGTATGTGTATAATACATTTTCTATCTGTATATAGTCAATGGTTAGAAGGAATGTGTCCTACGTTGATCTATGTTAGGCTAATCCGGACAATTTTGTCAATAAAGGCCGATTTCAGTGTTTACTTATTGCTGATTTAAACCGTTCGCAATATCCGTGATAGTAGTTGATGAATGAGAGGGAGGGTTTATCTTCTTTATAAATAGTAATTCACAACAGGTAACAAAAGAACTAGGCAAACGACTGTATATTTATGTATTTCATTACACAACACGGTCATCTATATGCATTCTGTAATACTTCAATACCCCCTATCGTATTTTTTGTGTGTTTGAATGCTACAGAAATATATAGCGAAAGTGATGTAAACTTAAACGTCGATTTCAAAATAAAATATCAAATTTTGAAAAAAAATTAATTAGAAAAATGTAAGATCATAGATTACTTACCACCAAATATCGCCGACAGCAGAAACAAGAAAAGCCTGTAATATTCCCAATAGAAGCACGATTCCTATGCCTTGCCACCGTGTCATTCCTAGTGCCATTTTGGCATATCACTGACGTACGACTTCCCGAGGTTCTACGGACGGAAACAACAATGTGAGGTAATACATATCTCATTGATAAATCCCATGCTAAGCATCCTCCGACAAACTATATCACAGTCCCCCCTCAAATTACTACTTCTTCCACAGCGTGCACGTGGCCCGAAATATTCACTACATGGTGGGTAAGATGTACACAGAAAGAATCGGACTGACGAGTGATTAAAATTCACAACAAATCATGTTAAACGCACACACACACTCCCATGATATTTTTGCGAGTGATCTCAAGGCATCATTGCCCCTCCAACAGAGGTGGCACTCGACCTGTGATTGATGGAACGGAGCAGACGACTCCTCTGACGCTAGCTCGTCTCTGATTGGTCCATATCCACTCACATCCTAAGCGATTCAAATGTTTTTCTCGATCTGTCCATTCGAGACCTGTACACTAATGATAATTAAAAAATAGCTTCTTCTCTTTTTATCTGTTGATTTTTTCCGTTTTGTTTGTCATATGAGAGCGCCAGTTTGCTTTGCGAGTGTGTTACGGGGTTTAATAAGGTTCGTCCCTGTGTACGATTGAACCGTATAGGAGTACAGCCGTAGAGGGTATTATGAAGGAGCGTCGATATTATCCTTTCTATGCACATGTACACTGTAAGCGGGATGATAGGAAACATATAATATTCACAAACCATGAAATAAGGCAGGCTAACAGGACAATATCCATGAGCGTAAATATGTGTGTCAGTTGACTTTAGTCAGTATATGATGATCAGAAGGGCTCGGGGGCTGCCGCTTGGAGGGACACAATGAGCAGCCATGCATACACGATAGGGCCCATGTTGCCTATAAATGCTACAGTAACGTAACAAATCTTCTCCCGTTGAATTGTGCTGATGAAAACTGCTATCAAACCATGATACGGTCTTTATATACGATAAGTGCATGTGAAATCAGATCGCGTTTCACATCGTACACGGAATATCGTAATGAAAGTTATCATTTTTCTTCTTACCCTAAAATGATATATTTATTGCCTACAAAGTGGCTTTCTTACCTCTCAGTAGGAACTGTGTATGATGTGTATTAGGACAATATATGAACGATTGGTGTTGTACACGACCGAACTAGTGTCACAATAACTTATAACTCAAATTTAGACATCAAATAAAACCTGCTGTGTAGATACAAATTTCAATATGTTTTTTTCTTTTTATGGTTGCATTATGGTGTCTAATGTATGCATGTTTGTAGTGGAAATATATGTATAACTTATGATACAAAATGTATCAGGTATAGTATGAATATATATATATATATATTATGAAATTTATCATTTGTGGCATATAATCCACGATGTATTTAATCAATAATGTTTGGTATAAAATCTATAATGTGTGGTATACAATCTTTAATGTATATAATATATATGTGTGGTATATATATATATATAATGTGTGGTATATAATCTTTAATGTATATAATATATAATGTGTGGTATATAATCTTTAATGTATAATATATAATGTGTGGTATATAATCTTTAATGTATATGATATATAATGTGTGGTATATAATCTTTAATGTATATAATAGATAATGTGTGGTATATAATCTTTAATGTATATAATATATAATGTGTGGTATATAATCTTTAATGTATATAATATATAATGTGTGGTATATAATCTTTAATGTATATAATTAATGTGTGGTATATATCTTTAATGTATATAATATATAATGTGTGGTATATAATCTTTAATGTATATAATATATAATGTGTGGTATATAATCTTTAATGTATATAATATATAATGTGTGGTATATAATCTTTAATGTATATAATATATAATGTGTGGTATATAATCTTTAATGTATATAATATATAATGTGTGGTATGTTTAATGTATATATATATAATGTGTGGTATATAATCTTTAATGTATATAATATATAATGTGTGGTATATAATCTTTAATGTATATAATATATAATGTGTGGTATATAATCTTTAATGTATATAATATATAATGTGTGGTATATAATCTTTAATGTATATAATATATAATGTGTGGTATATAATCTTTAATGTATATAATATATATAATGTGTGTGTATATAATCTTTAATGTATATAATATATAATGTGTGGTATATAATCTTTAATGTATATATATATATAATGTATATAATAGTGTGTATATAATCTTTAATGTATATAATATATAATGTGTGGTATATAATCTTTAATGTATATAATATATAATGTGTGGTATATAATCTTTAATGTATATAATATATAATGTGTGGTATATAATCTTTAATGTATATAATATATAATGTGTGGTATATAATCTTTAATATCTAATATATGATTTGTCATGTACGGTATTTAATGTATGGATTATAATTTATAATATATATATATATAATCTTTTATATATGGTACATAATCTATAATGTATGGTATATACATGTATTCTTAAATAAATGGGATGTGATTATATAATATATGGTATATGATCTATATGGCACATAATATCTTATATATGGTATTCAATCTATAATGTATGTAAGTTATAATATATGGTATACAATTCTTTATATATGGGACATAATTTACAATATATTGGTCAATTATAAATTATGGTACAAAATCTTTGATATAAGATAATGCATGGTATATGCTATTTGATACATGGTATGCACTAGGGTATTGAACAGCTAACGGGAGGTATGGAAAATAAAATTATAGAAATTTATCAGATAATATATAACATTATATGTGTTTTTGCATTAAACGATTATTTAGTACATATATGAATAATGTTTGAAAAGTGTTTCAGCATTAAACTAGCATGTTGTGGCGTTTTTGGTCAATGTACGAGACAGAGCTTTCTGGGCAAACTCATATTGCGCAATTTGGTGTGTTTACCTGCAAAATTCTATCATTTATAGCAAACATTAATTCTACAACATAAGACTTCAATGTTTATATTTACATTTCCTAACATTGTTTTCTCTTATACCGATTATAACTTGATTTAAACTAAAATAAGCGATTCATTGTCGTGATTCCAATGTGTCAAATGAAAAATCCATCTTGCCGGCGAACTTTGGCCATTTCTATGCCCACAATTCTGATGTTATAATGGCCATGCGCTGGATGGCATTAACTACATCATAAATCACACATCTTTTCTGTTAGTTTATATTGGGGTATTGCCGTACAAATTAAGTTGAACGCAATGGCTTAGTATTTAAAAGGTTTACACTACACTGCTGCAACTGACATACCAATCTACACTAAACCAAACTTAACCAACTAAATTAAATATTGGATACAATAAAATATAATGAAGATATAAAATACCTTAAGTAAACAATAGAGACAAGGGTATTTTATATACTAATGTGATTTCCGTTATATACCAGTCCAGTTCTAAATCTGAAAACGCCCCCAACACACTCACCTATCATACATAACGAGGCCGTACCGAAATAACCATGGCTGTTAATGTGATGTTTAACGAAATCTAACCAAACCATTGCAATAACTACTGACTGATATATTTACACATTTTACAAATAGTGTATGATAGCGTGCTGATGTAATGCAGTGCAATTATTCGTAACATGTGTCCAGTATGTTGACCAACACACACTGTACGAATGTACACAGTAGACTGACCACTGTACATGTAACAAAGACTGTCCCTAATATATATATCTACAATTATTGTAAAAATAATACACTTCACATGTGTATCTATAAACATTGTACAAATGATAAAATTAGCATGGTTATCTATACATTGTACAAATTATAAAATATAATATGTTTATATACTAACATCGTATAAATAAAACACTTAACATTGCATATATAAATGTTGTGCAAATAAAAAAAAAAAGATGAGTACCTACAAACATTGTACGAATAACAAACTTCACATATGCTCAAAATGTGTACCAATGTACAGCCAAAATCTACAAACAGTGTACAACAACTTTAAAGTGTACAAATATTGCGATAAACTTGTGAATTGCTGAATAGTGCAGAGTATAATTAGCGTGCTATTCTCACACTAAACTACAATAAGTGTTATGTAGGGTATTACCTTATATTTGTGTTATCTCACTTCTACAATGGATTCCCATGTTATAACTTAAATGGTTTTACTATCAAAACATCAAGAAACAATTTGGAAGGCTTTCAGATCATTACGACCCATCCCGATACGCATACGTTATGAAGTAGGTATCTGTATTATTTATATACTGTGACTCTTTATAATGATGTTCTGCCATAAAATCACGTCAGATAATTTATGATACAATTTTAACACTAAAGAAACATTTTTAAATGTTATCTTTTCTTTATGAGTATAGAATATTGTGTTATTTCTGCATTAAAACGTGATATCAAAACCTTATCTTTTTTATTATGGCGTTTTGCCGTTTAATACTGGTACAGGTATAACGCACACTGCGTCATCGACAGGTCGGTGCTGTTCACTATTTGATACTGTAAACGAGGACATGTTCGTGGTACTTATGCAAAATATGGCGGTATGAAAACCGGCAATGAAATTAATGTAAACTATTAAATTTTTGTTTGTAAAAGTCTAAATCATTGTTTATACATCCGTTCAGGTATCGCGAAATATCATATCACAAAGTATGCCATATCTGTTACATAACTGGTAGGTATTTGTGTGATAAAAATGTAGCAAGTTAACAGGGTGTCAGCAACGCAACTGTATCAGAATTTATGTTATTGCATGATCTCAATACATGTACTTGTAAATCAGCTGATCGGCCTTGACAAAAACATGAACATTCCTCAGTCTACCTGGTTCCAAATTAGTTTTGTATTAAACCCTGGCGGAGTCCAAGGCAATTTTCAGTCTATTATCTAGTGAAGAATTTCGACTGTACAATGATAAAACACACAAAAACATATTTTCTAAGGAAAACTTGGTAATCGT